TGTCTAATAACAGTACCGTGAGTATATACCGTGTTCAAGACAGGGTTTCTTTGTACCCTTGGCTGTCCTGAAATTAGCTCTGTAGACCCAGCTGACCTTGAACTCACAGGTATCTGCCTCTCAAGCGCAGGGATTAAAGACATGTGCCATCACTGCCTGGTCCAATTCCTTTCTTATGCTTGAGACTTATATTGTCAACTCCAATTAGAAAACCAGCAGGATTAACAAAAATTAGTAATAGCAAAGGCAAAATGTTCCCCAAATCTTACTAGGACTTCCTAAGTCAGTCCAAAACATCCCGTCCTGAGCTGAAGCAAAGGGGGCTCCCTTAGCTCTGCTCGTAGAACGAGTTCCGTTTGCGCCTTCCCACTTCTTAACAATTTGAGAGCTAAATTCAGTTAATTGGGCTTGGTGAAAACTCCTGACCACACACAGCGCTTGTTGGCAGACCATGTATTTACAGAGGGCTGGCGGGATGGTGCACACAGAGAAAGCTGCCAAGCCTGGTGCCCTTATCTCTGGGACCCACACGTGGAAAAACTGATTCCTGCAAGCCTTAAACGCCCATACATGCATGAATGTAATTTTACATTAAAAAAGATGGACTGTGTCTCTCTAGACATACCACTTCCCCACCCTGAATCTCGGTGTTTTCTTGGATTGCCTTGTCTGAAGTGTTTGCTGGCTTCTATCTAGGGCATCGACAGCAAGTTCTGATACGGAATAACTTGGGAATGTTTCATCCCGCCTCACCAGCTTCAGTAGGTGGTCCCTCGTCTCTAAACTGGGCTTACACAGTGAGGTTATAGGTCGTGCTCATCACCCGCCTGGCAGGCAGGTCATCCCGGCTAAGAGAGTGGACTCAAGAAGTTCAAGGCCAGCCTGGGAAAATTTACTGAGACCCTGCTTCAGAGTGAACTGGGGCTGCAGTCCTGTGAGTTTTTATAGAATCCACGAGGCTATACTTCAACCCCCGGCAGTCCCCTGTCCCACAACACCACCGTTAGAGCACGCTCTGCTTTTTCACTCGGCTTCCTGGACACATCTACAGCACCCTTTGTTTAGATTTCCCCGCACGTGGATGATCAGGACGGGAGCCTTGATAGTTCCCGCTGCTGTGTTAGCACGTGGATGATCAGGACAGGAGCCTTGATAGTTCCCGCTGCTGTGTTAGCTCCGCTCCCCTCCCTTACACAGCTGCTCCCGTGCCTCTTCCTTCCCTCCCTGAGTGCTCTCTTGGACACTCAGCTGGGAAGACTTGGCGGCAATCACAGTAGAGCTCCGAGTGTGCTGAGATCCAGTACTGAGGTTAGCCCAAGGGGCTGGTGATGGTGACCTTGATAGATTTGTGACTAAGGTCACTTAGTGAAAAAGATGTGGAGAAGCATTATGCTTCCTCAAATCAGGAAGAGTGGCACATGTGGGAAGTGGGAGCTGGTGGACCCAGGAGACTGAGGCCATCCTAGGCTACAGGAAAGACTTATCGTAGGTAGCCATGGACCTGGACAGATTAACCATCATTCTCTTCTGGTAAAGATGCTGTGTTTGCTCTTGTTCCTGTGTGGCTGTATCTCAACTGAAAGCAAATAAGCAAACTTAAAAACCTAAAATGTTTTTTCAATGGTGCAAGCTTTTAATCCCAGCACTTGGGAGGCAGAGGCAGGCGATCTCTGTGAGTTCTAGGCCAGCCTGAACTAGAACAACCTGTTCTAGAACAGCCAGGGCTGTTACAAGAGAAATCCCATCTAAAACCAAAACCAAATTCAAACCATGCAGAGGGTGTCTCCTGTTGAGTATCAATTGTGAATGAGACTAGACAAACTAGAGAGCGCAAGGAGACAGCCATTCTCGCAGGAACCCTCTCCACAATCCACCCTTTCAAAAAAGGCCCGGCAGCCCCAGGACTAGCAGCTGATTCACTTTCTGTTCCAGCTCATGAGCAGGAAGATCAGCAGAGGCGGGGTAGCCTTCTGTCCACAGCACAGCCCCTATAAAGGACAGTACCTCCCCTCCCTCCCAGCTACCACTGTTGGAGGACTAGATTGGCAAACAGGAGGACTTCCTGTGTTTACATGGCACATGGACACAAAAGTACTTGGAGCTTGTAGTCTGGTTTCTGTCTAAATAGGGAAGGTGGGGAACTGTGGGACAGATTTAATTGTGGCAGGGATGATGGGGTAATGGGCCCCAAGACACAGTTTATAGCCAGATGACTTGGACGAGGAAATGAGGAAACCGGTATTATCACTAGGCTCCAGTTCACTCACACGAGTACCTACCTCTGGGATTAACTGGCAATAAAGATATTTTTTTATTTATTTATTAAGGATTTCTGCTTCGTCCCTGCAACCGCTTCCCATTTCCCTCCCCCTCCCCCGATCAAGTCCCCCTCCCTCATCTGCTCGAAGAGCAATCAGGGTTCCCTGACCTGTGGGAAGCCCAAGGACTGCCCACCTCTATCCAGGTCTCATAAGGTGAGCATCCAAACTGCCTAGGCTCCCACAAAGCCAGTATGTGCAGTAGAATCAAAAACCCACTGCGATTGTTCTTTAATTCTCAGTATTCCTCATTGTCCACTATGCATACAAATGGATGGAAATAGAAAACACTATCCTGAGTGAGGTAAGCCAGACCCAAAAAGAGGAACATGGGATGTACTCACTCATATTTGGTTTCTAGCCATAAATAAAGGACATTGAGCTTATAATTCATGTTCCTAGAGAAGCTAAATAAGAAGGTGAATCCAAAGACAAACACATAGGCATCCTCATGAATATTAACCTTCATCAGGCGATGAAAGGAGACAGAGACAGAGACCCACATGGGAGCACCGGGCAGAAATCTCAAGGTCCATATCAGGAGCACAAGGAGACGGAGCACGAGCAAGGAACTCAGGACCACGAGGGGTGCACCCACACACTAAGACAATGGGGATTTTCTATTGGGAACTCACCAAGGCCAGCTGGCCTAGGTCTGAAAAAGCATGGGATAAATCCGGACTAGCTGAATAAAGGCATTTCTGCGTGCAAACACGTTCTGTTTATTACAGACTTGCTGGGTTAGGGATGTACCTCAGGGACACCTGGCCCACCCACCACGAGAACCAGGGCTGGGGGAACATATCAAGGGGACATGTCAAAAAGACCTGCTTTCCAAATGGACACGACTGTCAGTCGGAACTCTACTTAAGGTCTAGAGACAGACTGGATAGTTGCTAAAAACCCTGAGAATTATGCAAGCTTCACAAGGGACATCTTAGCAAAGGTTGGGGCTGCACAGGTAAGGGAGATAAAGATAAGGTCTACCACCTGTGAAAGCACTGAAGGCGCCTGCTTAAAAAAGAAAACAAACCTGACCCAAGTGTAAGTCACAAGCATGGCCAACAGATGGCACCAAAACTCCGAATCTCAGGTTAAGTACTGTAGGTTGGACTCTTCCCTGTACTACTCAACCTCCCAGCCTGGTGGCCCTGTTGTCATGAAGTCAGCTCACTTTCAGTGCACAGCAGAAAGCCCGATGCAGTGAGTATCCCTGTACATTCTGAAGCCAGGCTGCCTCGTCAATCCCTACCTCCAGTGAGTTGATTTGGGGAAGCTGCCTAGCTCCTGTGCCTCACATCCAATCTATGGTTACCGTGACAACCAAATTGTTTAGGGCACACTGCTTGCTTGTCATACACTGAACCACCTGTCTCACCCCCTTATGTTCTGCCATCTAAATGTTACCCCTTCCTGTGTGTAGACAGAAGAGGCTCATGGTGCAGGTGAGTATGCGTTTACCCCTGCCCACTTCCCCTTAAGGCCAACCAGCCCTTTAGGCACTGAGCACTGGCAATGCAGACTGAGGGCAGGCCTGGAATCTAAAGCACGGCAGGTACCCACCCTCCTAGTGCCAGGCTGAACCCAGAAGAGCAGTGGCAGCGGAAGACAGGAAGCACCCCTCAGCCCCAGCACTCCACTGCCAACCCAGACTGCTTATCTAAGCCAAGTGCACTAGAAACCAAGATGAAGTCACAAGCCCAGGTTCTTACAAAATATCTGAGGGACAACAGGGCAGGCCTTTGGCCAGTCAGGGTGGGCATGTTCTCAGGAGACTGACCAAAGCCTCCCAGCACAGCAGCACTGATCTGGAGCACTTTAAGGAGGCTGGGGTTCAGTTTTTCAAGTGTTGTACAGTATACCAGAAGGCTACGAGCAGAGAGACATCATAAAGACATTTCTAGCCTCCCCCAAAACTATTTCTAAACCTTAAATTCTCCCTTCAGATTAAATTCAACCAAAACCCTCTGTCCATTCTAAGGAAAATCCCCATCTCCTTCAGAACTGAGCATCACTCCCAGTGGCAGAGCCGAGACCAAGAGCATCTCATTCCACTACCTTACAACTTGCTCAGGACTCTGCTCTCATTATCCCCAGTTGTCACTGTATTTTGGCCCCACCTTTGTAAGCCTCTACTGCTCAGTTTCCTTTGGTGCACTATATGCCAAGCCTAGAGGCTCATTTCCAGAAGCCACAATCAGTTGCCCAATTTGGGACTATGAACTTGAAACATCAAAGGGGCAGCATAGTTGCCTTGTAACCTGAGACCTGGCCTGCTACGCCACACCCCCACTGTTTTGCCTACCTAGTTTTAAACTCTCCGCCAAGGCCATGAATGAGTGAGGGTTTGCTGCTCATCTGCACTAGACTAAGAATGGAGCATTTCAAATGCATGACCTATTTACTCGCTGGCATTTCCTATAACACAGAAACAGACAGGAATGCTCAGTGAGGGGAGGTCCTTGTCCAGCAAGATCAATTCCTAGCACCCCAGACAGGGGCAACTGGGTGATGATAGATAGCTAAGGGTGATGCCCAACACACCCGACACTGATTCAAAGCACTGTATCTGATGGAATCATCTTCCCCGCACCAGATAAGTAAACCCAATGAGACAATCTTACTCCTTTTCAATCACTTTGAATACAGAAACAAATCTCACTAAGGTAACTAACTCAAAACTTCAATAATATTTTCTTTATTTACAAGTTAGAATCAAGAGAAAGAAAAGATAGTCCAGGGAGCCAAATGGAGAGGTGACTCAAATCCCCAGGCCCCAAATGGAGTAGAAGGAAAAGGGAAGAGTAGAAAAAAAAAGTCAACGTAAAAAAAGGAGCTCCCTCTTCTTCCCTCCCCATGGAGGCTGGAGGGAGGGCCATGGTGCTCCTTCCTCACAGCCTCACCTAGCTTAAATAAATTAAAACCTCAAAACAGGGCCCTTAGAAGTGAACAGGACAGCTATGGCCTTAGGTGGCCTCGTGCCAGGCCTATGCCCACTCCCACCCATACCCTTGCCCACCCCCATCATCCTGAACAGGGACACTACACCCAAGAGGTCATTCCCCAAAGGGCTAGCAGCCAGTCTGGTTCTGTCCGTGTCCCTGCATCCTCCCACTGCAGAGCCAGCTCTCCTATGGAGGGAGATGAAGAAGTGTCACAGCAAGGGGACAGTGGTGGGGAAGGGTGGTACAGGGGTCCGGTCCTGCGGAGCCTTCCTGCCCCATCTGGCCTGACCCCTTAGCCCGTGTCTGAATCGCTGGTGTCTGAAGAAGAGGACGACGAAGAAGAGGAGCTGGAGTCTGAGCTGGAGCTGGAAGCGCTGAGCCGGGACACTGCGACTTGCTGTGCAGATGAAGACTCCGTTTTCTCACTCGCTGCACAAGAGTAACATGAATTTGTCAACAACAGAACACGTGCCTAGTGACATAAGTAGAAAGAAGGCGGAGTCCCAGCACTCACCTTTTTTGGGAGGTTTTTTGGTGGAGTTGAGCTGTCCACTGACGTCCTGCAACCGCTTCTCTAATTCCCGCTTTTTCTCCAAAGCTAGCTCCTCCTTTGTCTTTCCCACAGGTTTCTTAATAGCTGGGAGGAAAGGGCAAAGGACTCACTATAGTATATTATATTGCCTTTAGTCACCAAGAACTGCCAAGTCTCTTTCCATTCCTGAATATGAAGCAGCCCACAAGCCAGTGTGGCCTGTCACACACACCCCTTAGAACTGGGATGGCCCTCATCTGATACTCACTGTAGGGCTTCCGGGGTTTCTTCCGAAGGCAGGATAAAACGTATCGCTCAAGCTCTCTGAGTGTGGATGGCTTGAGTGTTTCGAAATCAATCTCGATTTCTTCTGGATTTGAATCACGTAAAGAGGGTTCCCTGGCTTGGATGATATGTACAACTCGACCCAACTTCTCCCCAGGTAGTTTGTTGATATCCAGGCTTAACTGCCTCTTTTCATCATAACTCATGGGCCTGCTTTCTTCCTCCTCCTCCGAATCATAACCAGTGGGCAGGACAGGTGGGGCTGTCTTTTGGGCCTTTTTAGGCAACCTATGGGCAACAGAAAATTGCTAATGAGTTCACCGGATGCAGAGGCCGACCTACACAACACCCCAAGACTGTCTCAAACACTCACTTGTTGCTACTTCCTCCAGAAGTCCCAAAGCCAGAGTGGCCTAGCATAGCAGAACTGCCACCCCCGGCTTTCTTAGATTTCTTGGGCTGAAGCGGTCGAGGTGCCCGAGACCCCTTGTCGTCTTCATCAATCCCAACTCGGCCCCGATGTTTCTCTGCCTTCCGTTTCTTCTTTTTCTCCTTTTTCTCTCTCTTCCGCTTGGGCTTAGATATTGGGCCTTGGGATAGGGCAGCCAGTTGTTCATGTACTGCTCGAAGCTACACAGGACAAAAGACAATAGGATCAAGAAACACAGTTGTTCAAAGAACACACATAGTTCCAAGTTCTTATCCAGTCAAAGCCCAAGCCTAATGAGATACCTGCTCCTGCAGCTCTGCCAGGCGATGAGCCCTTTCTTCCTCAGAGTCTGAGCTCTCACTCTCCTCTTCCTCATCTTCATCATCCTCTTCCTCCTCTTCCTCAGAGGAGCTCTCACTGCTACTTTCCTCACTTGAAGACTCTGAAGATGATTTGGCCAACCCAGGAGGCAAGACGGTAGAGACCGGTAAAGGCCCTGGTTCCAGTGGCTCATCGGGCATCTTGGCATAGCGGAACTCAAACACATCCTAAAAACACAGGTGGGAGACAAAACTGTTTAATGCCCAGTCCCTCAACTCACTAGCTCCAACTTAAAGAATGGCCAAGTTTTACACATTCTGAACGTACAGCAAACTAAACCTCTCCTCATAACCAGGTATGTGTAAAGGACAAGTCACACTCACCTGTAACTTTCGTGCCATGGCCACGACATCGTGGTCAGGAGGATTGTACTTATAGCAGTTGGAGAACATGAGTCGAACATCAGCAGCGAACTCCTGTGCATCTCGATAATCACGATTCTCCATCTTCCGCTGCAGAAGGAGGCAGCATGAGAAGCTGCACAGGCAGAGACTCATCTTTCCCTGCCAACCCGACTCAAGAGCAGCCCTCTCTTGGAACAACAGTGGGGATGACCTTAAGATCTGTGCCCTGGGGCTCAAGTTTGAAGTCCAAGGATTTGGGGTAGGTTTGAAGAGAGATCTACGTCTAGAAAGAAACATTTCTAAGTGACCAAGGCCATCTCCCACATCACATCTCCCTAACCCGACTCTTAGGAACTGCTGAAATTTTATCCTTACCGTAAGAAACAAGGACTTGAAAGTATGTGACCTTCTTTCTGCCTTGTACAGTTTTATAATAGCAAGACACCCAGAATGAAAATCTACTAAGTGCCCGTAAGGAGACATGGATATTGCTTTAGGTCCCAATCACTGCCTGAGCATCCCATCTGCCCCATGCAGTGGGTACCTTGACAGTGCTGAGGTCCATGGGATGCTTAATGATGTCATGGTAATCGTGAAGGCCAAGAGCAGAAGCATCCACTGGTTTATAGAAAGGCCAGGCATAGGCAGCATGCTTCTTCGAGAGCAACTCCTTCAAAATGCCATTGCAGTGCTTTAGCTGTTCTGACAGCTTTCCTTTCTTAGAGCTCTGGTGTTGCTGCTGCGAGTCAGGCAAGTCTTTTCGTGGGGGTTTGATTGGGCGGCCACTCTCTCTACGCACAGGAGGAAGCCGCGCTGCCTTTGGCTCAAGACCCCCAGGAGGACTAGCTGGGGAGCCAGGAGCCAGGATGGCTGTAGGTGTAGGGGTGGTCGTATCTGCTTTCCGTTTAACGCCTTTTTTCTGTAGAAATGTGAGGGACGGGGTCACTCCGGGTCCGTTTCTTTTAACACCTTCTCCTCCCAGGCGCCCAAACAATCTGATGTATTACCTTGGCAAGGGGCTGAGCTGGAGGAGCTGCTGATACAGCGAGGAGTGGGGGTCCAGCAGAATGCAGGGACTTCAGAAGGGGAGCAGAGATGACTGATGGGTGGGGAATGTTGAGGACAGTGGTGGGTATTTCAGGCGGTGGTGTATACAGGGCTGTATGCGACACAGAAGAAACCGCAGGCACCTGATGGGCACTGGTAATATTGCCCTGAAGTGCTAGGAAGGGAAAAACAGTATGTTTCATTCATTCTCATCTTTAGTCAGGTCACCTGTACAGCTTTCCCCTCGCTAGGCCACACGTACGCCCCATCTCTTCCTACCTGCTAACTTGGCCCCCTTCTTATGGCTGTTCTTAGGGATGGTCACCACAAGCTCTTGTTCTTCTTGTGGCATAGCTGCCACTTTCTGTAGGAAGATTTTCTCCAGTGTCTGTGCCATCAGGACGATGTCGTCGGTGGGCTGCAGGAACAAACACACACAAGTTACCATCTCTGCAGAACTCCCAGCCCCAGGGCACCACTGCAAGCCCAAGGCAGAGCTGATGAGTTACACATCCTGCTCTTCTCAGGCCTCCAGAGCTTTCTGAGAAACATGGCTACCACCCCCCCAAATGAACCGCGTCCGACTTAAATCCTGTCACTCCAGGGGCCCTGCTCTCTAAGGGTGGCATGTGGAGGGTCAGGCTTTTCTAGGACCTTCAAGACCTGGACACTATTTCCAGCAGCTAGAACCACAAACAAATGTACTGCCTCTCATGGCTATAGTAAACAAACATAAACACTTCAACAAACCCAACAGCCTACCTTGTTATAAATGTAACAGTTGGTAAACATTGTATTGAAGTCCTGCATACACTCTGAGGCAGCCCAGTAGTAATTGTTTTCAAGTCTCCTCTTGATAGTACCCATGTCCATAGGCTGTTTTATAATCTTATGGTAATCCTAAAGAAAGATAGGCCAAGTCAGAGCCATGGAAAATGCGTATTCTAGGGTAACTACTGACAGGAATGACAGACACACACCTGCACGCACACCCTAGCCACTAAGAGAGCATGCCCCACACTGCGGCCCCAAAGAAACTATGGGTCAGAAAAATTAGAGTAAGATCTTTTAATTCCCACTAGGAAGTCCCTAATGCCTTTCTCTAGCCACCCACCTCCCACCCACTCTGGAGGCTTCCCATCCTGTGACATTACCTCTGGGGATGGCTATCCATGGGCTGCATGAGGGAAAGGAAGAAGCTAAGAATTTTGGCCACCGTGGTCCTCTCCCAACCAGGGGTGGGAATCTGTAAAATGGAGCCAGGGCACAAAAGTTAAGGAAGGGACACATGGAGGACAAAATGAGAGATGCCAAGATAGAGATAGCAAGCACAAAGGACCAAGAATCCAGAACTCTGGTGGCTATTTGTCCTCAAGAGAATGGGAGCTCCCTAGGGGCCGCAGCACCTACACTAGGTAGCCCACACCCCCACTCACGCGCTCCTGCTCACCCCCACACCTGCCCCAGCCCACCCTCTCACTCACCGGCAGACCCAGCTTCACAGCGTCCACAGGCTGCCGGAAGGGCCAAGCAAACTGGTGCTTCCACAGGGCCTTCATCACCACCTTGTGCAGGTACTGCAGTTGGTTTGTTACCCGCCCTGGCTTTTTGGGATTGGACACCTCGGGGGGCGGTGGGTTGGCAGGGGTCAGTTGTAAAGCTGGTACAGAAGCCATCGTGGGGCTCTCAAATCCCTCATACAGCAGAGAAGGCTTTCGAATCCTTTTCCCTGGTGCTGCTGCCTCTGGGCCCAGCCCCAGTAACCCTGCATTCCCTTCCCCAGGGAGCCTGCAAAAAGGGGAAGCAGAATTAGACGTGAAGGCATGAAAGATGAAAAAGTTGCTAACTCGCAGTATGCACCCCTATAAACTCGGGCTCTGGCTGTCTGAGGTTCACATGAAAAAAAAATCAACTCCCAATAGCTGTACCATCTCCATCTAGCTCTTACATCCTCTAGTTGCAGGAGCTACTTGGTTAAAATAAACACAAAAACCAAGATGTCACATGACAACTCAAGCCTTATGGGGAGGAATCTGAAGCAAAAATAGGTGGAGCTATGAAAGCGAAGCTTCTTCCTCGCTAGGGACCTAATGGTTGCCATGGTGGTTGAGAAGGCAATGAACAGAGGAAAGGAAAAGGGTGGGAATAAACTTCATAAACACGACACCTAATAATTCATCTTGGCATGTTTTGCAACCTTCGAGTTAAAGCCACAGTAGAAAACCAGACAAAACACTAACCCAAAGACACAAGGAAATATCGGTCAGACCTAAAGGTTTCCCTAAAACAAGTCTCCTTCAAATCACACCCCGCAGTCAAGGTCAGGAAGCCCTAAATTTTGATTGCAAGTCCCGCTACAAAGTAGCTATCGCTAGCAGCTCCCGCGGTAGGAGACTAAAGGCCAACCGGGGCGCGGTGGTACTCTAACCAGGTGTTCCCCAGTGCCCGCGACACTACACCCAGAGCTCATTGTTTACATCCGCAGAGGAGCGCTGAGCCAACCCTTCGCTCCATCCATCCCCTCCTCCCTGAACGAAGCTCAGGGGTACCCAAACACACCCACCGCCACCGAAAGGAAGCACCGATCAGAGAAGGGCTATCTATGCAGCAAGAACCCAGCCTCGGAGGGACCGTCTCTACTCCGTGGGAATCCCGCTACCAAACCCTCAAGCTGTCACCATGGCAACTCTACAGACACTGAAGTGGGCGAGACCCCCCACAAACACGATGACAAAGTCAAGGCTGAGCCGCGCACAACCCCCACCCAGCGGTCCGACTCGGTCTGGCCGAACGGGCCTGCGGCCGCAGCAGCGCAAACGCCGCCAGGCCGCTCCGACGCAGTACCTGGGCCGCCGCCACCGCTCCAAAACCGTCGCAGCCCCCTCCGCGAGCTCGCGTCAACAGCAGCGGCACGGCAGCGCGCCCGCCCCGAACGCCCCCCCCGCACCCCGGCCGGCGCAGACGTACTTGTGGGGAGTCACGTTCTGCAGCATCTTGACCTCGGGGAACCGCCGCTCAGCCGCGTCAAGTCCGGGTGGCCTCGGCGCCGCTCACCGCCGGGGCCAGCATAACCGGGGGAGCGGGGGAGAGGCCGCGCTCCCCGGCCCTCCCGACGGCAGCCTCGCCGCGATCGCGGTCTCCTGCACCGCCCTCCGCGCAACTCCGGCAGCTTGGCGCGCTCCGCAGGCGGCGGCGGCAGGAAAATGGCGGCGGCCTCTGCCGGCCGGCGAGCAGTCTGCAAACCCCGACAGTCTCCGATCCGCGGCACCGCCGTCAATTCCGCCCGCTGCCGGTCTACCGGGGCCCCGTCTTCCTGCCGCGGCCGCAGGGGGCAACGAGCGCTGCGTCAGATCTCCGATGGAGGCGGATGAACACCGAGAGGGGCTTCAGAGAGCCGCCGCCTCCATCTTTGAAATCCTCCCGAGGGCGGAGTGGACAGACTCCGCGGGCTGGGCGGGGCCCGAGAAAGGGGAGCTGCGGGGGCTTCTATGGGGTCTGCACTGCCCGCCGGGGCCGGCCGCGGGCGGGGGCGGAGGCCATTTGCAGGCGGATGGACGCGGATTGGCTCGGCGGCCCGCGAAGCTCTGGGTCGGCAGGCAGGATCCTCCAGCCCGTCCTAGACGCTGCTCCACTCCAGCGCGAAATGGCGCCGCCGAGCCCCGCGCCAGCGCTTTATATATAGTCGGGGGGGCGGAGCTTCGCCGCTCATGCGCGCCACCCGGCTGGCGGCGGCCCCCGCCCCCTCCGCGCGTGCTCGCTCGCTCACGCGCGTGAGGAAGCAGAGGCTGGGAGGCCGGGCCGCCTCTCCGCGGGAGCTGCTCCTATTGGTCCGCTCCGGGGTGACGTCACAGACTCCATTTCCAAGGCGTCCATCACCCGGCAGTGGAGTACCGCAGCGAGACAAGGCGAAGGGGCAGCCCGCCATGTCTCCCAGCCAGTTGGCTGCGCTGTGGCTCGGCGACTCCCGGGAGCGAGGGAGGCCGAAGGGCGTGCGGGCGCCTGTCTCCCCACCTCCAGGTCCCGCCGGGTCCAGGGCTCGCAGGCTCGGGGCGGCCGCCGATCGCCCGGGGCAGGCTGGTCGCGCCGTCGCCGTCGGCGCAGGGAGGGAGGGGTCGCGCGGGCGGGGCCGGCGGGAGGCTGCTGGGCCGCAGAGAACCTGAAAAGAGGAAGACAGACGCCATCTTAAGAGCAGCGGCCAGCTTTCCCGCAGCGACACCTCGGCGTCCCCCGTAGCCCCGCGACGCAGTCTAACGTTGCTAGGCTCGGCGCGCAACACCCTCGCCTCCCCCGAGCCGGCGCCATCGGGACAAAGGCCAGGCGCTGCTTAAACACCAGCTCAAAAGAGCGCGGCCACCCCGGGTGCCCCGCGGCGGGCAATCCCCGGCCTCTGCCCACTCACTCTCACCCGCCTGCCACACAAGCCCACGGCGTCCACCTGCCCCGAAAACCCTACCTCTCTCTCACTTTCCCCGCCGCTGTCGGCGAGCGAGGGCAGCGCGCGGCTCCTCTGTGCCCCTCTCGCCCCCGCGTGGGTGCACGGACGCCCCCCGCCCCCATCGGCCGGCGCCCTCCCCACGGAGCGCCTCTCGCACCGGTCAGCGCCAGGGAGGAGGGCGAGCCGAGGAGGCGGCGGCGCCGCTCTGCAGCCCTCCCCCTCCCTTCCCCCTCGCTGGCCGCCTCCGAGGAGGGGCAGGAGCCATTTTGGGAGCCGTCTCGCCCCCTCCCCCTCCCCCAGGCTGGACGGGGGCTCTGGGAACCAGAGGGACTCGGGTAGCAATAAACAGCCCAAGGTCAGCTGGCTGGTGCCCCTCGCGGGAAAGTCAAGGGCTGCCCGCCAGAGGCCACCTGAGCTTCCCCAACCCCTCCTCGTCCCCAGGGAGACTCGTGTGCTCGTCTGGGCAAGGAAGTGAGAGTGGGTGAGGGGCTGCAAGGCAGGCGGGCTCCCCCTCCCCGAGTCACCCTCCCTCCACTGGAGCCCTCGACCTCGAACCTCGGTTACTGCATTTAACATGGCGGCCAAGCTGCTGTCTTCTGGGCCGCCAGGTTAGCGCAGCCCCTCCACTCCCCGTCAGGGCCCAGGCCCGGGTCGCCCGAGTGCGCGCGGCCCCGCCCGGGCGGCTGCGGAGAGCAGGGCAATGACACAGCAACTTTGCAGGCGGCTCCCCTCCCCCTAGCGGCCCGGCCTCCAGAGTGGCGTTCCCGCGCCGGGGCCGCGCGCGGGTCGGGACCCGGGCCGGCAGGGGTGGGGTGGGGGTGGGGGTGGGGTGGGGGTGGGGGTGGGGACAAGCTCGGGAGCTGGGGAACGGCGGGGCTTTAGACGAGGCTCCCGCCGCCCCGCATTCCGGAAAGTCACCGGGCCCCAGTCGCTCGCAGCCCTCCCTGCCCCCACATGAGTCACAGGGGAGGCTGCAGCAGCTTAGTAATTTGGAAAAGTAACTCTCTCTTTCCGTTCCCTCCCCCGCAGCGCACAAGGAGGCGACTGTTGCGGGGAGCGGGAGGGGAAGGAGGTGGCGACACAGCACGCCACCCCAGATACCCTAGACCTCGCACCGGAGGGCCGTCCCGAGTCCCGAGCGAGCTCCCGATTCCTCCCGCGCCCCCCCCAGCACCCACCCCAGGCCAGCACGTCGCTCCCCACCCCGGCAGGGCCCACGAAGGCAGGCGGCTGCCATAATAGGCCGCACAGGCCGTGTCCGCGTGGGAAAGCACACACACGCTAAGGGTCGAAGCAGCGCCTGTAGCACGCCATGTGACGGCGGAGAGCCTGCTCCCCTCGACACAAAGGGGTCCCCGGGGAGCGGGGAGCCGGCGCCAGGGACGACATCGGTGCACCAGTCGGGCTGCCAGCTCCAGCTCGCGCTCCCACGGCCAACACCCCCCACTCGGCCTCGCCCGCCGAAGAGACCCCCTCTCACCTGGCTGCAGGTTCCCCGGACCCCCAGGGGACCAGCGAAAGGGGGCACACGCCACCCTCGCCCCCTTGCCCTCCAGTGGGTACGTAGGCACGAGGTTGGCCATTCCCCTCCCCCAAGTGGCCCTCTCGGGCTGGCCCAGGTCCACACTCCCATTGGCTGTCAGGTGTTTGAAAGACAAGTCCCCCCATCCTCTCCCGAACCCCAAGAATGCGCCCCACTCCCCACCTTTAGTTATGCATTGACACGACGGCCGGCCTCCCTGCCCCGGGGGCCCCTGCTCACCTGGGTCCAGGAACCACGGGGGGGGGGGCTTCAAAGTCGCCCTCGGCCCGGCCGGGGGGGAGCACGGAATCCGGGGTGTCAACCCCCCCGGAAGCCGAGGAGGCGTTGGGGGAGGGGGCGTCGCCCCCGGCCCCTCCCTTCCCTAGCCGCTGGGGGTGGGGGAAAGCATCGGGGCCGCGCAGCCACGTCAGCAGCACTCGGACTGGCTGGGCCGGGTCACGTGGCCGCTCCCCCCACGGCCACGAGGGCGAGGTTTCCGAACGTTTCCGAATGTCCCCGAGGGTCGTGTACGGGGTCCCGGGGGCTGCGCGTGCCCAGGCCTGTGTCCCGAGACCCCAGGCCTCGCTGCCCCCGGCCTTCTGCGCCCCTGCGGTCGACCCCGTTCCCCCCCCCCCCCCCACTCGCCTCTCGGTACGGGTTCAGCATGGCTGCCACAGCCCCGAAACACGCACAGCGCAGGCGCAAGGGTGTGACCGGACCGGGCGGGGGTGGGTGGGTGAGGGAGAGCCGGAATGCGCAGGCGCAGGCCGCCGCCGCGAGCCTCCGGGGCGGGCTGGGAGCGCGCGATGGGTGGGGCGGGAGCGCGCGGGCTTGTGGCTCGGTGGCCTTTCCCCCACCGCGGTGGGAGTCGGTTCTTCCGGCCGCGGCCTGGGGCGGTGCCTGGCGCCTTCAGGCGGGAGTGCGCGGGCCCCGGGCCTGGGCCTAGCTGCAGGGCGGGCCTCCCTGGAACGGTGGGGGTCGCTCGGATGAGCTCTGTCTGCCGTTTAAATCGGGAGTGGTGGGGTTTCTCGAGTCCCTTAAACTGCTTTTCTCTATGAGACTTGCAAAACCTGAATTCTGCCTTCTGCGAAGCTTGCCACCAGTTTGCTCCTCCGATCTTATGCAGGTAGACCTTTGAACAACGCGCCCACTGCAAAATTTTTGCGCGTTTTGATCATGGTTCTTTCCTGACTTTGTCTGTGCTCTACATTTCTGTCGCTAGTCTTACCAGTTCCTTTCATTTCTCTCAGTTTTTATCCTGTTAAAATGTAGGGTGGTCGCTAAATGTAGTGCAGCTAAGGTGTGAAGCTCTAGCGTGCTGTCGTTTTTTTGCTTTTCAAGCGTATGGTCTGGATTTCCACTCCCCACCGACAGACCACCTGCATTCTCCTTGTGTAGACTGGGCCATGTTTCTTTCTCGTTCTACCAGGGGGTTCTCAGTTTAAGGAAACTGCCTTTGACCTGATCAGCCTTCTCTGTTAACCTAGAGTTATTTCTCCTGTCCATTTTGGTTTCTTAGCCAGAAAGAAAACCCATTCGATATTGTGCCCTGCCAGTAAACACTCAGTCTTTCTCAACTCTGAACAGCCAGCATCTGGGACTTGGCTCCCCGTCTCCCTCCTCATATCCCGGTTCATTCAGCGGCTGTGTGTGAGGGTCTGACCGCCTTACCAGGACCTCCCACCTGGCGGCCTCAGAAATGAGACCACTTCTCTGATTCCTCCCTGGCATTGCCTGTGCCCAGGCCCTCTCCAGGCTCCCCCAGGCCCTTCAGGCAGCTGTTCCTGCGGTGTTTGACAGGCTTGCATCCTTGCCGGTATCTTTAATGACAAGCCTTTCAAACTCCACGTTAGTTCAGAGCGGTCTCCTGAGCAGAACTACTAAGAATTCCTGCTCAGAGTGACGTGGGCTGCGCACCTTCCCCGGTGTTAGCCGACTGCAGCTTCCAGGTCTCCAGGTCTGGAATAGGGAGTGCCAGTCTTATCTTCCCTCACAACTTTAAGTCCGTTGCATAGTGGCACTAGCCATATTTTGAGTTCTCAGTAGCCACACACGGTTAGTGGCTGTCCCACAAGGCGGCACAGTTTGTAAATGACAGAAATGATCTCGTAGAAGGCCTTGCTGTGTTAGCTAAGTGCCTGGTCACTGAGCTTCTTCCCCAGCGGTGGAATTGGTGGAATTGTGTTTTGGATAGCGCCACTCTGGGCTTTCCCTCCTGGCCTGTGCCGAATGCGCTTCCTTCCCTAGAACTCTGTCCCTTGTAATTTGTTAGTCCCCATGGCTTCTCATTATACAATAAAATTTAAAATGCTTTGTGTCTGTTGGAAAGGTCTGCTTCCTGCTGCTAGCCTCACCCTCTACCCCACAAGGGTCCCAGATGTGTGCCCTCCAACCTGATGTCAGCCAGTTCCTCTTCGACCCTGTACCCCACCCACGCTGGAGCAGGTTCCCAGATGTGTGCCCTCCAGCCCTGACATCAGCCAGTTCCTCTCCAACCCTGTACCCCACGCGTGGAGCAGGTTCCCAGATGTGTGCACTCAGGGATGTTCTTTTGTGCCTCAGTGTTTGCCCTGTGCATTCCTTCTATTTGGGATATGCTTTCTCTTCATTTAAACCAAAAGGGCAACATCTCCAAATACTGCCTACTCTTGACCCCTAAACTAAGCTGATTCCTTTATGATTGTACTTTCTATAGTGAGTCATGTGATCCCCGCATCTTCATTAGATTTCATCCTGAGTCATGTGACCCCTGCATCTTCATTAGATTTCATCCTGGGGTAGAGGCTGTGTTGCTGGTGATGGTGTATGGGTGTGTTTCTTAGACAGGGTCTCACTATGTAACCGTGGCCGGCTTGGAACTCTATGTAGACCAGGCTGGCCTCGGACTCACAGAGATCCCCCTGCCTCTGCCTTTCGAGTGCTGGGATTAATGTGTGCACCACCACACCTGGCATCACCTCCGTTTTTCAGGTGAAATCACAGGAAGGCGTATTGAATCGTTTGCCCAAGGTCAGACTTGCTAAGTAGCAGAGTTGGATTTGAACCCATAACATCTGCTTCTGAATAGTGTTATCCAGGATCCACAGAGTTTTGGGTCTAGGATTGGAACGGGAGAAGTGACGACTAGGAGAGGAATGGTCGAGAATTATCTTTAAGGTGACATTTAAATTAGCCAGGGAGGGGAGGGAGATTACCTTTTTTTTTTTTTTTTTGCTTTATTTTGTTTTTGGAGAAGGGTTTCTCTGTGTAGTCCTAGCTGTCCTGGAACTCACTTTGTAGACCAGGCTGGCCTCTGCCTCCGGGAGTGGCAGAATTAAAGATGTGCACCACCACCACCTAAGCTTCTAAGAAGGAAAAGTTAAGCAGGTCAGCTTCTACAGCCTAAGAAAACACTCTGCCACTGAGTCATACCCCAGCCCTCTATTTATTTTAGGACAGAATGTGAGTTCAAGGCCAGCTTGATCTACATAGAGAGTTTCATCAGTTAGGGACACAGAATGAGACCCTGTCCCAGACAAAATAAGAAAATGGTAGTTGACAGTCTTGGGAAGGGTTTAGGATGGGATGGGAAGGATGGCGACAGGCGGTGGATGCAGTGGGGTGAACCAGAGACACGCCCCCGCCGACTGGAGAGAACCGCATCCACAGAGTAGATCCACCACCACCCTGTGCCTAAGAGCACTCCCGGCCCCAGAGTCACCGCCTTTATTAAAGGAGTCCCTCTGTTACGGATCGCTTGGTGGATGCTGCGCTTTGAATGCCATTCTCTTGGCTCACGCAAGAGCTCACTCTCCAAAGCGGTAACAGAACAGAAACGTAATCTAATCTAACGGCGAAACGAAGCACCCATTTAGGACGCGACTGGACTTGGCTTTGGTCTTTGCCAAGCAGCCCATCACTGAATCCTGGTGGCTTTCCCTGGAGAGGAGGGGCTGGAGAGAGACACTCAGTGCTGAGGGCTGCTTACTGCACTTGCAGAAGACCTGAGTTTGACTCCCAGCACCTATGTGGGGTGACTCACAATGCCTGTAACTACAGCTCCAGGGGATCCGATGTGTCTGGCCACACACACAACCCACATGCATGATTTAAAATAATAAATCTTAAACAACAAAGAAAGTGAGGGTGGAGACGCAGCTCACTGGGGACGTGCTCACTAGCGTTCTCAGGGCCCTGGGTCTGGTGCAGCAGCCTCACTTAGGACCATGGGAAGCGAATTCAAGAGCCGTCAGAGGTCGGTTGCTAGGACTTGTGGGGATGACTCTGGTGGCACCGGTGACTGTGCGGCCAGCTGTGCCATTGCCTGACGCTGGAGGAGAGCACACAGAGGCTAAACTTCTAAACCAGTCTGCCCCTGGAATGCTTGGCCAATGCTTGTTAGTGAGCCGTCGCCTGGGGACGGCGTAGAACGTAAAACAGACCGCTGGCGTTCCTCCTCCCCTGGAGGGCATTTAAAAAAACGTGAAGGCTTTTGAACCGTCCTTCTCTGGCCCCTTTGAGGTAACCGTGGGACGTGAGCACAGATGGTTAGACAGCGTTAAAAAGCTGCTCTTTATTTTATTGGTTGGTGATGTGATGACATCAGAAGGAAGGTGATTGGTGTAACGGCCACAGACCTTAGCACAACTGACTCCATGATCGAAGTACCATTCAGGCTGTAAAACTCAGCAGGCAGACAGAAGCATCTGCCAAAAAATGAAAACAAAGAACCAGTCCATCAACGTCCACAGTTCTGGGAAAGCCTCTCGATGCACCAACCTTGCTTTTTGGCTTCTGCAGTTCTATTCCTGGCTAATTGTTCTTGTTAACTGAAGTATGTCAACCCAGAACATGTTTTTTTTTTTTTTCGTGCTTAGAAGCTCATGCTAGAAAAGTTTAGGGGTACATTGGGATCCCGAACACCCAGTATAGTCCCCAGTTGCTAACAAAGACTCTATTGGCCTAAACTCATGTCCGAACAGTCTCCTCTAGTGAACACCCCATTGCAGAATTAGCCATTACAGAAGCGCTGTAAGCACTTGAATAAAACTAATGAGTAAATTCTAACTAAGAGGAGTCACTTACTTCTGTGAGTGACACCTGCTCCGTACTCCAGGCTGGCCTTGAACTCCCAGAGATCCCACTGCCTCTGCCTCCTGAGTGCTGGGACTAGGTGTGCACCACCACACCCAGTTACAGGTAACAATTTTTGAGGCTGAGGCTCAGCCTGCAGGCCAGGTTGCCCCTGTACTTTGTATGTAGACTAGACTATGCTGCCCCTAACCAGTGCTGTTCCTTTTGCCTCTGCCTCCAAAGTGCTGGGATTGGCGGTGTGACCCAGCACGCCTGGCTCACACAGATTCAGCCTTGCCTGTGTGCCTGGAGTAAGCGCCTGCAGTTAGCTGTGTTGGAGATAGCTGCTGGCCAAGGATGACTCTAGAAATACCAGGAGGTGATCACACTTGACCACAGCGGATGGGCCTAGTGGGCACCCTAGGCTGAACCAGCTGGATCTTCTCTCTGCAAGATAAGGAAGTTAAGGAAGGCCGAAGGCTGCTGTGTTCTAGGAGTGACAGATAATTTAGGCATGCTGCTAAGGCTCACGTGGCCATTCTCTGGTAGTAACTTCCTCAACTGTTCAGGTCCCACAAGCTGAGCCAGTGTTTATCCTGTAACTACTTCTAAATTACATTAGCCAGGGTTAGCTTCCTCCCTTCCTTTCTTCTTCCCTCTCCTCTTTCCCATTCTCTCTCCTATTCTTAAAGGTGTGTCTCACTGTTAGCCCAGGCTGGCCTTGAACTCGCAATCTTCCTGTTTCGGCTTCCCCAGTGCTGGGCTTTCTGGCACACACCACCATACCTGGCCTCCAGAATTGGTTTCTCTTGTTCGCAGGTAACAGCCCTAACAGGTGGCTCCATGCTAGCAATGTCCTTTGTTTATGTGTCTGCTGATGTCAACAGGTAGCATTTTCACAGTCTGAGAACTGGAACTGTTCAGCTTTCGAGTGCAGCGTCTATAAGCAGTGGACTGGCCGCGTGGATTCCAGAGCAGAATGGGAGCTGAGGAGGTGAGTTTGGAAGCCGCCAGCAAATGGGTGGAGGGAGTAAATGAGAGCATGAATTCCCTTCTGGGCGATTGCCCTGCAAGAAGGGCAAAGGTTGAAGAGGAGGCACCAGAGGACTTGAGTTCCTAAAGCCAGCTGTGGTGGCTCACGCCCATAATCCCAGCACTTGAGAGGCTGAGGCAGGAGGATTGATGCGAGTTCAAAGCCTGCGCTACTGAGGGAGCTTCCAGCCAGCCTGAGCTGCCGTGAGACTCTACCTCAGAACAAAAACAAAGACACAGCTGGGCTGGAGGAAAAACCTGAAATCCCTGAGGCTGACTGAAGAGGGATCGCCGGAGGAGGGGGAGGGACACTGGGAGAGAATGCCTCCAGGGCGGTCAGAAGTCGGAAGAGGGCAGGGCCAACTGTGTCAAACGCGCGCGGTCCACTCACAGTCCCCCTGATTAGCGGAACAGAGATACTGGGAACGTCTCATGTTGAGAGAGAGAGATTTTAGCAAGTATAAAAGTGGGGTCGCAGTGGTCCCCAGCTTTTCAGGGACGTTGGCTTGTCGGGGGTGGGGAGCTGACTCTGAGATAATCCCGTGGAGATTGTGGGTCACAGGGTAGAGGTTACAATGGCTGCACTTGTTTCTATTTATAGTAAGTGGAGGAAGGTTACCAAGCCCTGCTGGCTCATGGTGAGGCCGAGTCCCTTTCTCTTCGCTCTCGTCCGGTTCCCACTTTTCTGGTTGTGGAGAACTTGAACCCCCTTGCCTGGTTCCCTGTACCCCAAATAACTATCCAGTTGGCCACACCTGTCCCTAAGTCCTCCACACCATAGAGTCCCCTTTCTTCTGCTGTCCAGAAGATCTCGGGATTCTCTGCTGTCTCCCGGACACACTGCTTATGCCCGACCACAGTTCTAGGCGCCAGGGGTTCTAGGGCTTTGCTGAAAGGTGACTTTATTCAGGGTCTCCACACACAGAATGGCATTCACCAAAGCTTGTTCCTGTGAGGGAGAGCCAGCCCACTGCCTGTGCTCATACGCTTTGAGTGCTAAGAACGGTTTCACATTTTCACATTTTTTGAAATGACTTTTTTAAAATCAAGAATGTTTCACGACACATGGAAATGATGATAAATTCACATTTTTTGTACCCATAAAATAAGAAGAGAATTAAGGACAGAACTTGAGGGACCATCAGCAGAGATCAGCTGAAAGAGAGGCCCAGCAGGGACAGCAGCATCAGCCTGGGAAGCATGGGGGGCGGGGGCAGGGCAGAGCCGAGCCATGTTTGCTCTCTGGTCTCATTGCCAGTGCTGTTCCTGGCAGCCAGAGAGGCTTTCTATGTGTTCTTCACAGAAAGTTTGCAGACTCCGGTTTAGAACGCCAGGTGGGTGGCTGGGTTGTGGCTCCCAGATAGAGCGCTCGTCTTGGGTGTGTGTGCCCTAGGTTCCACCTCCAGAGCTGGAAGGAGAAGGAAGTCGTGTGGAGCGGCAGGTGGCTGTGTCCCCTGTGTCTCTCCAGGCTGTACCCCTACCCTGAAGCCGTCCCCATCCAGACACCAGCCCATGGCTGCTCCAGCAGGAGCTCTTAGTTGTTCTGCCTTTGCGATTGGCTACAGTAGCTACAGTTGCTACTTTGATGCACTTGCACTGAGCGGTTTGTCATCGTCTCAGTAACACGTCTCAGTAACACGGGCTGGCCACCACTGAGAACCAAGGTGAAGTGCTTGGTTACTTAATTGCCGGGTTAGCGCTTTCTTAGAGCTCCCTCCACCCCGCCCTTCTCTTCTCTCTCTCAGACTTGAAAGCACAGGCAACGACAGTTTCTTCCTCACCTCCCACTCCTCAGCCCACTGCAATCTGGAGTTGACTCCTACTACAACTCCGAGAGCGCTCTCTCTCAGTAGCGCATCCCCCATCTGACCCTCCTCAGCCCTTCCTGCATGCGTTCAGAGTGGCGCTGGGTACCTCAAACCTCACCCCCCACACCCCTGCCCCACCCTCACCCCAATTCAATCACCTACTGCTGCTCTGTTCCAGATTCTTGGGGATTAGCATACGCAGTGGGACTCTCTCTCTCTCTCTCTCTCTCTCTCTCTCTCTCTCTCTCCCTCTCCCTCCCTCCCTCTGCTGTACCCATCCTCCAGAACTGGGTTTCCCTCCTGACTCTCCTGGCTGTCTTCCTTGCAGACTTTGCCAGCCGGAGGCACTGGCAAAAGATGGAAGGAAAACAGAAACTTCCAGCTTATCCCCAATCAGGTGATTGACAGTTACGGCCCTTGTTGGTGGAGGTAGCCATGCAGGCAGTCTGCACCACAGCCTCCTGGGAGAAACACCATCTCCAGGATTTTGTGCTTGGTGGCAGCTTCTCAGCAGAGGCTCCATGATGCCAGTGTCTGCACAGGGTGGCTGCAGGTGCGGACAGGGATTCTGGCCCCGTGGGCTGGGACAGTGTCTGGTCCCTCAAACCCATCTCTGCTAACATCTGTCTCTGTCTCTAACATCTTTGAAACTCACTTTATAGATCTGTTGACCTATCATGCGTGCAATCCCAGCACTAGGAAGCTAAGGCCGCTGTGCTGTTAGTTTGAGGCCAGTTTTAACTATATATGGAAACCGTGTGTGTGTGTGTGTGTGTGTGTGTGTGTGTAGTTGTGGTTGGTTGTTTTGTTTTGTTTTGTTTTGTTTCGGTTTGTTTTGGTTTTTCGAGACAGGGTTTCTCTGGTTTTGGAGCCTGTCCTGGAACTAGCTCTTGTAGACAGGCTGGCCTTGAACTCACAGAGATCCGCCTGCCTCTGCCACCCTGGGTGGTGGCTGATGAGGCTGACACCCGCAGGTCTGTCTTACCTCCCTCCTTCAGCACAGTCTGCTGTTTTGAGCCTCTGGTTTGTCCATGTGCTCAAGCTCCCCAGATCAGCCTCTCCTACCACATCAGCACCTACCACCTCTGTGGACTGTCCCACAGTATCCCGAATTTAACACGTTTAAGATTGCATTTATTCTCTTTGTCGTCACCCCCCCCCCCTTCCTATCTGTCTTCCTCCTCCTTCCCTCCCTCTTGCTTCCTGCAACCGTGCAACCCTGGGCTTCACACATCCTAGACAAGCACTTTACCACTGAACTACAGCTCCCGAACCACTAAACTACAGTCTTCCTACACACTGAACTACAGTCTTCCTACACACTGAACTACAGCTCCCTACCCACTGAACAACACCTCCCTACCCACTGAACTACACCTCCCTACCCACTAAACTACAGTCTTCCTACACACTGAACTACAGTCTCCCTCCCCACTAAACTACAGTCTCCCTACCCACTGAAAAACACCTCCCTACCCACTAAACTACAGTCTTCCTACACACTGAACTACAGCTCCCTACCCACTGAACACCTCCCTACCCACTGAACTACACCTCCCTACCCACTAAACTACAGTCTTCCTACACACTGAACTACAGTCTCCCTCCCCACTGAACTACAGCTCCCTACCCACTGAACACCTCCCTACCCACTGAACTACACCTCCCTACCCACTAAACTACAGTCTTCCTACACACTGAACTACAGTCTCCCTACCCACTGAACTACAGTATCCCTACCCACTAAACTACAGCCTCCCTACCCACTGAACTACAGTCTCCCTACCCACTAAACTACAGCCTCCCTACCCACTGAACTACAGTCTCCCTACCCACTGAACTACAGTCTCCCTACCCACTGAACTACACTTCCCTACCCACTGAACTACAGTCTCCCTACCCACTGAACTACAGTCTCCCTCCCCACTAAACTACAGTCTCCCTACCCACTGAACAACACCTCCCTACCCACTAAACTACAGTCTTCCTACACACTGAACTACAGCTCCCTACCCACTGAACACCTCCCTACCCACTGAACTACACCTCCCTACCCACTAAACTACAGTCTTCCCACACACTGAACTACACCTCCCTACCCACTGAACTACAGTCTCCCTCCCCACTGAACTACAGTCTCCCTACACACTGAACTACAGTCTCCCCTACCCACTGAACAACACCTCCCTACCCACTGAACTACAGTCTCCCTACCCACTGAACTACAGTCTCCCTACCCACTAAACTACAGTCTTCCTACACACTGAACTACAGCCTCCCTCCCCACTGAGCTACAGTCTCCCTACCCACTGAACTACACTTCCCTACCCACTGAACTACAGCCTCCCTACCCACTGAACTACAGTCTCCCTACACACTGAACTACAGTCTCCCTCCCCACTGAACTACAGTCTCCCTACCCACTGAACTACAGTCTCCCTACCCACTGAACTACAGTCTCCCTCCCCACTGAACTACAGCTCCCTACCCACTGAACACCTCCCTACCCACTGAACTACACCTCCCTACCCACTGAACTACAGTCTCCCTACCCACTAAACTACAGTCTTCCTACACACTGAACTACAGCCTCCCTCCCCACTGAGCTACAGTCTCCCTACCCACTGAACTACACTTCCCTACCCACTGAACTACAGCCTCCCTACCCACTGAACTACAGCCTCCCTACCCACTGAACTACAGTCTCCCTCCCCACTGAACTACAGTCTCCCTACCCACTGAACTACAGTCTCCCTCCCCACTGAACTACAGCTCCCTACCCACTGAACACCTCCCTACCCACTGAACTACACCTCCCTACCCACTGAACTACAGTCTTCCTACCCACTGAACTACACCTCCCTACCCACTGAACTACACCTCCCTACCCACTAAACTACAGTCTTCCTACACACTGAACTACAGTCTTCTTCCCCACTGAACTACAGTCTCCCTCCCCACTGAACTACAGTCTCCCTCCCCACTGAACTACAGTCTCCCTCCCCACTGAACTACAGTCTCCCTCCCCACTGAACTACAGTCTTCCTACACACTGAACTACAGTCTCCCTCCCCACTGAACTACAGTCTTCCTACACACTGAACTACACCTCCCTACCCACTGAACTACAGCCTCCCTACCCACTGAACTACAG